AGGTGGAACGAGGTTGTCCCCAAGGGTCTATAGGAGGCCCAACAGTGTGGAATTTGTGTATGGATGAGTTGATGTTGGAGTTGGAGATGAATGGTTGGAAAGCAGCGGCCTTTGCGGACGATTTAACTTTGGTCATCGACGCAAGGAACCGTAAGCAGCTGATGGAGCGGGTGAGTGAAAGTATGAAAGGTGTGTATGAATGGGGTAAAAGGTATGGTGTGGATGTGTCTGATGAGAAAACCACGTTGATAATGCTGAAAGGAAAGCTGGACTTCGGAAAGGATCCGGTGGTTAGGGTGAGAATGGATGATGCAACGTGGAAAGTGAGGGTGGTTGAGGAGGTAAAATTGCTGGGCATAAGAATGGGTTTGGGGATGAATGTGAAGCTGCATGTAATGAGAATACGAGCGAGGTTGATGAATGTGGTTGGATGCATGAGAAGGGTTTTAAGAAAGAGTTGGGGAGTAAGGAGAAGGGTGTGGAGGGTGTGGATGACAGGCCTGTTTGAGGCCATAGTCATGTATGGAGCATGCATGTAGCGAGCAATACGTATTGACTTGGAACGGAGACGATCCCGACGTCCGGGCACGGTCGCGGAGCATAGTGCCACGAAGTCCAAGTTAAGGGAGTACGGCAGGCGAAATTTACCGGACGAGCCGGACGAAGGGGGCTTGGTTAAAGACGCGAGTGATGCGTATGGACTTGGAACGGAGACGAAGCCCACCTTGAGCCGATTGAGTGCGAGGACTGGGCGTTACCGAGAACATCGGTACCGGACCGGGCCGCTGCAAAGCAAGAGGAGGCGCAAGTGAGGCGTATGGACTTGGCGCGACGTATCCCGTTGCAACGTTTGCTCTCACGGAAAAAGTGCAAGGACCGCCAAGTGATGCGTATTGACTTGGAACGGAGACGGAGCCCACCATGAGCGGCTGCGCAAGAGCGAGTGCGAGGACTGGGTGTTACCGAGAACATCGGTACCGGACCGGGCCGCTGGAAAGCAAGAGGAGGCGCAAGTGATGCTCACGGACTTGGCGCTACGTATCCCGTTGCAACGTTCGCTTTCACGGAATAAGTGCGAGGACCGCCAGATGATGCGTATGCGGAGCCAATCGCCGTCGTCGAGTCTCGCTGCGACGTTTGCTTTTGACGAAAATAGTGCGAGGATCGCCAAGTGATGCGTATGGACTCGGCGCGACGAGTCCCGTTGCAGTGCTCGCTCTTACGGAAAAAGTGCGAGGACCGCAAGTGATGCTTACGGACTTTGACAAACGGGGTGGCCCGGAGACGTGGCGACGTCGAGACGCTGCGACTGCACGGAGTCGAGTCCGCTCGGCCGAGTGCCAGGACCGCGACGAGAGCGCGAGTGCTACGAACGAGGTTCGGCCAGCCGAGGGATACGACCGAATGCCGGCAGCAGCCGGCAAGTCCGCGCGGGAGCTCCACCGAGCCGCGTATAGGACTGCCGTATAGCGGACGCTCGTACATTTGTCCGGACGTCGGACCGGCCGAGTCGCTACGCAGAGACTTTGTCCCATAAGGCCACGGGTTAAGCCCTAGACAGGTCGGAGTATCCCGGCAAAAGTCCGAGGTATTAACATGAGGGTACCACCAGGCGAGACAGACAAGACGGTGGAGGCGCAGCACGGCGAAAGCGGCGCAGCGGTCCTCGCGGCTATAACACGTATGAGCGAAAGTAGTAGTTCAGCAAGTCACAACTACCGTTGATATTCAGACACAACCCATTATTTGTGGCGGGTCTCTCTTCACGGTAGTCACCTCTGCTGTTCTTCACGACGCACATCATCACCTTAGTCGCGGCTGGGCCCCTGTCGTTCGCTCTCTGCTCTGTCTCTGCGTCTCTGCTCGATCATCGAGCTCTGTGCTCAAGCCCTGTGCTGCCGCATCCTCATGCAACCACACCACACAACAACGTCTCCCGCAAGTTTCGGCTTTTGGGGAGGGTTCTCTGCATTACCGCGGGTCGGCGTCTCAGACCGGATGGCCCTTTCAAGCGGTGGGCGCCCTGAGCGTCTCTTAGCGGATCTCAACACTCATTGCGCAGTAGTTGCACAGATCATGACCGAGCATCGACTCGTTTCACACCGAGCGAGAATCTATACACACGATAACAAGGCCGATCGCATTGTCGATTGCCGCACCAAGATGTCACATGTCTAGCGACGGGTAAATTAAAGTTACGTACTTTATCGCCTAACGTGAGAGACTGTCGAATCTGATTGAACCAAGTCGCCGCGTCAGTCGTGCGCTGCTCTTTCTCGCCGCCCTGGCGCGTTGATCGAGTGTAAGCGCTTATACGACTCGACCGGCGCTTAACTCTCGAAACTTTCGAACGCACCTTTATACGTGCCACGAAATTTCATTATTTCGAGCGCGTGTCAATTGTGTCAAAAAAAGCGTGTCGTCGCGCGGCTTGCCGAGGGTGTGTGCAACACACACACTCGAAGCGGCCGCTCGGCGTTATATGCGACACTCGACGCGTGCACGAGCTCGTTTTTAAACTACGACGTGCTCGTGCTCGTGCCGATGAAATCTGCGCAACGATTCGTCGCTGCTGCTCCCGCTGCTGCTCCCGCTTCTGCTGCTGCTGCTGCTGCTGCCGCTGCTCTCAGCTTGCTGCTTACTGCTACTCGGCTACCGATCCTTCGTCCTCGCTCTCGGGCGTTCATGCGTTGTTGGATCTCGGTTGGCCGTGTTTAGCGACTGTGGCACTGTTGGCCGTGGTGGTGGTGGCGTGCGTGTGCGGTGTCTGCGGTGGCGTGTAAGCGCACCGACGACGGATCGAGCCCGCAGTCGATTCAGCACGAAGCTCCCTGGTTGATCCTGCCAGTAGTCATATGCTTGTCTCAAAGATTAAGCCATGCATGTCTCAGTGCACGCCGAATTAAGGTGAAACCGCGAATGGCTCATTAAATCAGTTATGGTTCCTTAGATCGTACCCACATTTACTTGGATAACTGTGGTAATTCTAGAGCTAATACATGCGAACCAGAGTTCCGACCAGAGATGGAAGGAACGCTTTTATTAGATCAAAACCAATCGGTGGCGGGCTCGCTCGTCCACCGTTTACCTTGGTGACTCTGAATAACTTTGTGCTGATCGCACGGCCCAGTGCCGGCGACGCANGTAGCGCTCGTGTCTTGTTGCTGCACAGACGTGTGCAGAAGCAGCGGCAGTTCAGCGGCAAGTTTCGTCGTCGTGGTCGCGTCGTGCAGCGAGAGAGAAGAAGAAGAAAAGAAGAAGAGCTTTCAAAAAAAAAAAAAAAAAAAAAAAAAAAAAAAAAAAAAAAAAAAAAAAAAAAAAAAAAAAAAAAAAAAAAAAAAAAAAAAAAAAAAAAAAAAAAAAAAAAAAAAAAAAAAAAAAAAAAAAAAAAAAAAAAAAAAAAAAAAAAAAAAAAAAAAAAAAAAAAAAAAAAAAAAAAAAAAAAAAAAAAAAAAAAAAAAAAAAAAAAAAAAAAAAAAAAAAAAAAAAAAAAAAAAAAAAAAAAAAAAAAAAAAAAAAAAAAAAAAAAAAAAAAAAAAAAAAAAAAAAAAAAAAAAAAAAAAAAAAAAAAAAAAAAAAAAAAAAAAAAAAAAAAAAAAAAAAAAAAAAAAAAAAAAAAAAAAAAAAAAAAAAAAAAAAAAAAAAAAAAAAAAAAAAAAAAAAAAAAAAAAAAAAAAAAAAAAAAAAAAAAAAAAAAAAAAAAAAAAAAAAAAAAAAAAAAAAAAAAAAAAAAAAAAAAAAAAAAAAAAAAAAAAAAAAAAAAAAAAAAAAAAAAAAAAAAAAAAAAAAAAAAAAAAAAAAAAAAAAAAAAAAAAAAAAAAAAAAAAAAAAAAAAAAAAAAAAAAAAAAAAAAAAAAAAAAAAAAAAAAAAAAAAAAAAAAAAAAAAAAAAAAAAAAAAAAAAAAAAAAAAAAAAAAAAAAAAAAAAAAAAAAAAAAAAAAAAAAAAAAAAAAAAAAAAAAAAAAAAAAACAGTTCGAAAGGCAAAAGAGTGAGTGGCGGCGGCGGCTCCTCCTTCTCCCTATCGTTCATTCCGCTCGCAAGCAATGCGTATGGACTTGTACGAAAAAAGCCCGCCCGCTGGCGTCCGTGATGTCCGCGCGGAGGAGAGGTCTCGAGGCGAGCACTAGTCAGGGTCCGGTTTAACGAGATTCCCACTGTCCCTATCATGATTAGTCGTCGAGCATCGAGCGAGCAATGCGTATGGACTTGGAACGGAGACGATCCGACGGGACCGCACAATGCGCACCATGCGCAGTGCACGGAGCGAACGACGGCAGGCAATCGTGCTGTAAGAGGTACAGGAAGGGGACTCGGTGAGAGACGCAAGCGATGCGTAGTACATGGACTTGTGTCAATGCAGCTTGCGGCGACTCGGTTACTTTTCAGTAGGAAGAGAGTGCGAGGACAGCTTTTCCCGCACCAGGTGGTGATCAAGCCGAGACAGTCGGGACGCGAGCGCGGGTAAACGGCGGGAGTAGATCATGGCCGCTTAATACGACCCGAAGCCGCCTCGAGCTCAAGCACTAGTCAGGGTCCGGTTTAACGAGATTCCCACTGTCCCTATCTCATCCCCCTCCTGGTTGGGCGCGTTGTCGTCGCGAGGGGGCCCGAACCCAGCAATGGGTCGCAAAGGTCCAACCACCCCGAGGTGAGCGCCCCTCGGGTACCGTAATCCGTGCGTTGCCTTCAACAACCCTCACAGGGCGTGGTGAGTGTACGTTGGCGCGTACGGACCGGTGGCTTGGCTTAACCGCCCGGCCGCGAGGTGGGGTCCTCTATAAAACCCTGCTAATCCTAAGCTTCGTGTTGGCGGCGAGAGGATGAATGGCGGGGGGCGGCCCCGTCGTTAGCCAACCAAACTCCGTGGGCTGTGGCGGCTCACGGTTTCATTTGCCTTGCCGGGGCAAGGGCGCACTGCCTCGGTCGACCGCTGTGCTTCGTCCCACGGGTTGATAGTCTCCCTCAAGGGTTCGCCTGAAGGGGGAGACGTACGAACCAGATGATGATTAAACCAAACCGAGCCTCGGAAAATAGTAAGGGTGTAGGGGATGGCAGGGAGAAGGATGGGAGTTGTGCTGGCAATTTCTCTAAGGGTTTAACGGTAGAGGAATTAGAAAAAGAGGTTGTGAAAACAGAGGAGCAGATTAAAAAGTGTGACAACAACCTGGAGAAATTTAGAGCACAACGCATGTTGGGAGGGAAGGACATCAAGGAAAAGATCCAATTGGAGGAGGATGTCAAACATGCATTTGCGGTGAGGCTTAAGAACCTCATCGCAGAGGTACACGTTTTAAAGGAAGGGAAGGTGGAGGAGCAGCAGGAAAAATTAGAGAGAGAAAAGAAAGCGGAGCAACTGAGGGAAAGGAGAAAAAAGGAAAGAGAGTCAAGAATAAGAAAAGAGGATGGCACAAAAGGGAAAGGTAGGACAAAAGGGCTGTCTGATCGGAGCAGGTCCAGTGAGGAGAATGAAGAGGACGATGATAGCTTCTTGGATAGTGAGGAGGAAAAGGAGAAATGGCAGGAGAGAGAGAAGCGCAGGAAGTTGTCCGACATCATTCCACGGGTCTCGCTGTCGAGGGTTGACCTGACAACTGTCGACCCCGAGAAAAGTGTGTACAGTGAGGATCCGAAGATTCAGAAAAGGATGGAAAAGCTGGAAGAGATGAAAAGGAAGAAGAAAGGGGAACAGAAAGGGGACATGATGGAGAGGTGGAAGGAGGTCACCATCTCGATCACTGAGTACGTGGCTCGGGACGATGTTAAGATCACCAAGCAGGCCTCGGGTCAGGTGATGAGAAGAGTGCTGGACCTCCAACAAATCGTGGTAGAATTAATAGGGGAGAATAAGGAACTTACAGCAAGGTTGGATGAAAAAGAAAAAGAAAATGAACGGTTGTGGACGGAGATAAGGAAAGGTGGCAGAAATAGAAGAGACGATTTGGAGGTAGCAGCAAGTGAGGAGGAGGCGATGCATTGGCAAGAAGAAACAACGGTCGAGGAAAGTAGGAAAAAGGCAAGGAAGACGTATGCGGTGGTTGTACAGGGAAAAGGAATTAAGGAACCGGAGGAACTGCAAAAGAAATTATGGGGGTTCACTAAAGATTTGGACATGAATGTAGAGAGGGTGAGAAGGATACGAGATGGAAAGATAATTCTGGAAATGGCCACGGAAAAAGACAAAAAGAGGATACTAGAGGAGAGGAGGATAATGGAGTCGGGAATGAAAGCAGAAGAAGTTAAGAAGTATCGACCGTTGATGAGGATAGGAGGAGTAGAAAAGGAGATGAAGGATGAAGAGCTGCTAGAGGAGGTCTGGAGGAGGAATTTCAAAGAACAGCTGACGGAAGAGGACTATAAGAAGACAGTGAAGGTAAAAATGAGAATAGGAAGAAGGGATGGAAATGTAGTGAGTGTCATCTTGGAGGTTGACCCGGGAATGAGGGACCGTTTGGTGGAGAAAGGAAGGGTGTTTATTGGGTGGAGAGCGCATAGAGTTGAGAAGTTTGAGCAACCCATGCGCTGCCTTAAATGCTATGGGTTTAGCCATAAGGCAAAGGATTGTAAGGAGAAAGAAAGGTGTGGCAATTGCGGTGAAGAGGGTCATAAGAGGAAAGATTGTCAGGGAGAGGTGGGATGTGCGGTCTGCAAAGGGAGAAAGAAGGAGGGAGGGCACAGCGTCTGGTCCGAGGTATGCCCGGAGGCGAAGTGGAGATTGGAGAGGTGGAGAGAAAGAACGTTGGAGTAAAGACGGGAAGGGTAGCCACGCAGTACTATCCAGGGATACTACTTGCGTGGTTCACTAAACGGAAGTAGGATCGCACAGCTCCCTCCGGTTATAGGAGCGAGTGTGGTGTGGTCCTGCTTGGGTGTGTTGGAAGAGGTTATTTTTGATGAGGAAAGGTGTTGGAAGGAAAAGGGTAAAAAACGTAGGAGCTAAATTGTAAAGTGGAAAGCGAAAGGAAGAGGAAAGTGGCAACGAGGAAGTGTATTGAAGGGTGTACAACGCAGGGGGGTGTCCTTGGGCACCTTCGGGTCTGGGCGCTAAACGGTACCGCGGGGTCGGGGAGCCCCCACGGAGGTAAAACTCCGTGGCCCCGACACTGGGAACGGACTCGCGGGGGCAGTGGTTACCACCCTACATCGCTTGGGGTAGTGGACGGGTTGGGTGAAGGAGCTGTGAGCGTAACAGCTCTAAGCAGCTCTGGATCCGTTACCTGTCCACGACGTGTGAGTTGCGGCCTCAACTAGGGCGCCGGCCTGCATAGCCGGAAGGGGTAGAATAGGCCCCGCCCCCCACCGAGGGGCCCACTGGAAGCTTGTCCCTTCCAGTGGGAATTCGGTAGTCGGGGCTGACTGAGTCGTCGGGTTCCTGGGAGATTTCGATCTTTCGGCAAACCGGTGGCGAGGTCAGTCCCGACGCGCTGGCTGGGCGTATCCCAGCCCCTTTGTCCAAGGGGACCGTGTGGATAGACCGAAAGGTAGGAGCCGCACGCAAAATCACGACATTCATATGTCCCTATCTCATAATTCGTCGTCGAGCATCGAGCGAGCAATGCGTACGGACTTGGAACGGAGACGATCCTGACGTCCGGGCACGGTCGCGGAGCATAGTGCCACGAAGTCCAAGTTAAGGGAGTACGGCTGGCGCAATTTACCGGACGAGCCGTACGAAGGGGGCTTGGTTAAAGACGCGAGTGATGCGTATGGACTTGGAACGGAGACGGAGCCCACCATGAGCGGCTGCGCACGAGCGAGTGCGAGGACTGGGTGTTACCGAGAAGATCGGTACCGGACCGGGCCGCTGGAAAGCAAGAGGAGGCGCAAGTGATGCTCATGGACTTGGCGCTACGTATCCCGTTGCAACGTTTGCTCTCACGGAAAAAGTGCGAGGACCGCCAAGTGATGCGTATGGACTTGGAACGGAGACGGAGCCCACCATGAGCGGCTGCGCACGAGCGAGTGCGAGGACTGGGTGTTACCGAGAAGATCGGTACCGGACCGGGCCGCTGGAAAGCAAGAGGAGGCGCAAGTGATGCTCATGGACTTGGCGCTACGTATTCCGTTGCAACGTTCGCTTTCACGGAATGAGTGCGAGGACCGCCAGATGATGCGTATGCGGAGCTTATCACCGTCGTCGAGTCTCGCTGCGACGTTTGCTTTTGACGAAAATAGTGCGAGGATCGCGCAAGCGAACGCTTAAACGCCCCCGGCCTCGTCAATTCATTTGCGACGGAGTGACACCTGCTCCAGAGGCGACCACTGAAGGTCAAAACGCCTCGAACAACAGGTTAGTGATCTTACAGATCAACGCAGCACACGCCAGGGAGGTCACTGACCAAATTCGGCTCAAAGCCGTCGAGACGGGCATTCATGTCGCCGCGATACAGGAGCCCTTTGTACTGAAGAATCTTCTTCCGGGCATGGGGCTTCACGTTTCCTCGATCTTCGAGAAACAGTATCACAACAACAAAACAGGCGCTGCCATCTCTTGCTTCACAAAGGAAATCACGATGCTAAAGCTGACTGAACAATGTCTCGTGCGTCGAGATGACCGGGAGTTTCGGAACGTTCATCCTTGTGAGTCTCTACTGCAAATTCAGCAGGAAAACTGCAGAATTCATCATGCACCTCGATAAGATCATGAGGTCGTGAAACGGTAGAGAGATCCTCATTTGCGCTGATCTCAACGCGAAATCACCAATGTGGGGATCACCTCACACGGATGAAAACGGAACCCTATTTGAGGAGTTCCTTGCGAATCATGGGCTGGAAGTACTAAACGATAACAGAGGAGTTCCGACTTTTAGGTCATCTAACGGCACATCTAACATCGACGCCACCTTTGCGACCTCTGGTATCGCTAGGAAGTTGGAGCTCTGGCGCGTTGAAGAATGGGGACAGAGCGACCACCGGCCCATCAACATAGTACTCAACTTTGATGCCACTCCTGAGCCCTCTAGAAAGAAGCCCAGGTATAGTATAAGCAGGGCGGACTGGGGGGCTTTCACAGAATCGCTGCTTGAATCAAAGACCAAAATTAACTCGGTCATTAGCTCGCAGCCGATGGACGTTGACAATGTCGACGCCATCAATGATTCGATAACGAACACCATTATCGAGGCTTGCGACAAATCGATGCCCAAGTCCACCAGTAAGTACAAGGCTCAGAATTGGTGGACGACCAAGCTTAACAGCTTAAGGAAGCGCACTAGATCTTTGCGCTTTGAGTACCAACACCTACTCAAAAGGCATCCTAGCTCTGAGAGCACCAGAGCAGCGAAAAGGAGATTCATGACACAAAGGAGGGAATATCTTAACGGGATTCGCAAAGCCAAGACGGCCAGCTGGAGGCGGTTCGTAACGGAAGAAAGCAGAGAGAATGTATGGGGACTCCCGTACAAGATCGCAGCTGGACGAGTTAAACCACCAAAGCCGCTGGCGTCTTTAAAAGAGAACGATGGGTCCATGACTCAAAGTTGGCAGGATACAGCTAGAGCTCTCTTAAAGGCCCTAGACCCGGACGACACTACTGACGCCGGCTCCCCAGTCGGCAAAAGGATCGCAGCCGAGAGTACATCACTCGATGGTCTCGGTGAGGACGCACCAGACTTCACTGTCCTAGAGGTGCTAGAAGCGATCAAGAAGAACGCCTCGGGAAAGAGTCTTGGGCCAGACGGGATTCTCCCGGAGGTACTAAAGAGAGCGCTAGTAATCCTACCGGAGATCACCTCCCTCTTCAACAAGTGCATGGCACTAGGTCGATTCCCGAAGGAATGGAAGAAGGGCAACCTGATTCCCATTCCCAAGCCGGATAAGGACGAAACCTTAGCGACGTCATATCGGCCGATCTGTCTTCTCCCACTACTGGGGAAGACATTCGAAAGGCTAATTATTGACAGAGCTTCGGTAGTAATTCACAAGATGGGCCATGAGTCGGACTCACAGTTCGGCTTCAAGGTAGGCAGAAGCACCGAGGATGCGATCTTGAAACTACGTCAAGTAGTGGAAGAAAGCAACTCCACGTATGCCCTCGCGACCCCACTTGACATATCTGGCGCCTTCGACAATCTGTGGTGGCCCTCGCTCATTAACATCTTGCGGGCAAGAGGTTGCCCAGCGAACATCTTCCGAGCTCTAAAAGATTACCTCCATGACAGGGAGGTGATCATTCAGGGCACTCATCAAGAGTGCTCGAAGAAAGTCACCAAGGGAACACCGCAAGGCTCCATTTTCGGGCCAATTGCTTGGAACTTACAACTGGACGGACTACTTAATCTTATCAAGGAGGAAGGAATCCCGTCGATAGCCTATGCGGACGATGTCATCATCGTTATACCTGGTGACACTAGAGGAGAACTCAAGTCGAGGGCAGACAGCATTTTGACGAGGGTACACAAATGGTGCCTCGAGAATAAATTAGCGATCTCGGTACCGAAGTCGGGAAAGATCATGTTGAAGGGAAAGTTCAAGGGACGACTGCCAACTGCACGCCTGGATAAGCAAAGCCTGAAATCTCTTAACCCAATAAAGTATCTTGGGCTATACGTTGGGGAAGTGTTCAGCTTTGCCGAACATGCAAATAGGATAGCCTCTGAGAGTGCAACGATATTTCACGAGGTAACGCGTTTTTCCAAGGCGAACTGGGGCTTGAGATTCAACAACCTCTCGACCCTGTACGACTGCGTGTTCCTTCCTAAAATAACGTACGCAGCGGCCGCATGGGCTGATAAAGCGGGATCCAGTAAGAAGCTGCTTCCTGCGCAAAGGTCAGCTCTCCTTGGGCTTACTAAAGCATATGGAACGACCTCGCACAGTGCGCTGCACGTGCTCGCGGGAAAGATGCCCATGGATCTGAAGCTCGAACAGCGCGCCGCTGAATACAAAATAAGGAAAGGAGCGAGCGTGTCCGTCAAGGGTCTCAATCTGACAAGTGAAGAGGTGAGGGCGAATAGAGCGTCTGCATCCGAAAGGGTGCGCCGCAGACTCCTTGAGGTCTGGCAGGCAGAGTGGAACGCAAGTGACACAGGAAAGGAGACGTATGCCTTCTTTCCCAACATCGAAAGGCGCCTCTCGTACCGCCTCGAGCTGGATCACTATGTCACACAACTTTTGACTGGACATGGAAATTTCGCGTACTACAAATACGTGCACTGCAACGCGAGCTCACACCTTTGTGCCTGCGGGGTTACGGAAACCGCGGACCACGTCCTTTTTGACTGTCCGAGGAGAAGAACCCAGCGATGGGCCCTCGTCAAGGCTGCACAAGCCGAGACCGGGTCATAGCCATGCACGAAGGAGTGTCTCGTGGCAAGCAGAGTACTCTTCGGCGAACTCAAAAAGTTTGCTAGAAGGGTGCGCTATTCGCGATCCAGCAACAACGGAGAAGGAGAAGGTAGACGAGGACCTAGACGAGACAATAGGAGGAGACGAGTGAGAATCGACAGCCAATCGACGCTACCATCTGTCAAACCGGCAATACCATCTGTCGAAACGCGCCAACAACGCAGGGCGAGATTGGCAACCAATCTCGAAGCGCCAGAGGAGTCAGGAGTGCAGTAATAGCTCATACCAGCGAGTATAACAATGGTGCCCAGGGAAGAGAGCACCAAGCAGGTTCGGAGATCCTCTTGTCGGCCAGAAGGGTCTTGAGTTTATATACGAACCAGCTCTCTTTCCCCGTCTCTACACACGCTGACCTGGTTTGGCTCTCGAGCGGGGAAGGGTTGGACTCTGGGTGGCAGTGGG